TTCTCATCAGAACAAAGGATCGGTATGGTTGGCCGGAATATTGCTCTGTTTTGCTTTGGAAATATATAACCTAGATGCAGTACGACCATAGATTAAATATAACTCCAAGTCGACTTCTTATGACATTGTTAATTCAAACTTTTTTCATGTCTTGTTCATGTTGGTGACACTAGACGTTAGTTTTGACGTAATTTTGTTTCTATTATTTTAGGGTTGGTTCTATAATGTGTGTTTTAATTTCTTATAATATAAACAGTAGACGAGATATTGTTGATGATTAGATCTTTTATTTTGGAAAACTAGGTTTAAACATAGATAAAACCTATAAAACCAGCTCCTTAAATAACAAGAATTGTTTTTCAGCTAATCCAAAATGATGACAAATCTACTTAAGGAGTATGTTTAATCTATGGTATCATGTACTGTATGGAGTTCATGTTTTTGGACCTGGAATTGGAATCACTAAACATGTGTTTTTGCAGGAATAATGCTCGGTGGGTTGAGTTGTTTTGTTTCAGTCCCACGGCCACAAACGTGAGCATTTATTAAAAGCATAAAATTGCTAAAAGTGTTCAAGACGGCATATTGTTAAGGCTAAACAAGTCAATTCTAAAAAAAAAACTTTCAATGATTCCAACTTGGAGTGGTATTCAAGCAATTAACTTAGGCCTATGGGCATGATATTGATATAGTTTTTAAAGAAAGAAAGTAACTGTGACCAGACTAAAGGGGCGGAAAATTATTTGGGCCTAGGGGCGCAAAAATGCTAAATCCGGCCCTGTGTTTATGAACGTATTTTGATTAAATTTGGAAAATACATTAATTTCTTATTAAACTATAACATTTTACAACAAAAACACTTTTTTACCCTCCCTCTTGCAACAAACCTAAGTACTCATTAAACTAATTCTATTTAAATAGGGAATTTTTAAATCTAATATTTTTAAAGAGATTTTAGTGTAAATCCAATCAGGATAATGGAAATTCGCTTAGTCTGCAGGTTTGCTGTGGCGGGGGTATTAGTTTACCTAAGCTTGGTTTGCTAATTTCTGTGAGAAGTTAAGTGTTATACAGGATTAACCATCAAATATTAGGCAAAACAGTTTTGAACCAATGTAAGAAATGTACCTAATTGATTTATTAAGGCTTTTATCTACATTGGACGAAGAGAATTGGTGATGAATTTGAAATGTTGATGCTAATGTGGATGATTTGCCTTTCCTTTCAACTTTGACCTTTCTATATCTCTGCTACTATATCTGGACAATAATTCACCAAACAAATAACAACTTCAGTCAAATCTGTATATGAAAGACAAATTAAAACTAAAATAATACAAGTAGATTTAAATTAACACAATCAAACTTGATTCCAGGCTGTATGTTTTAAAATGTGATGTTTTGGATTTTGGAAATGGGTAGTTAGGTTCCAAAACTACTCTGCTTTAAAACATTTTATGAAAGCATAGATTTTGTTGTATTCAAAAATTCAAATAACCTGCAGGCCAAAACTTTGAAATTAATCCATGGCAATAGGATTTGATTATAAAGTACAATACTGCATTCTCGGGGGAAATGCTTTAAAGCAATATAAAATCAACCAAGAAAACACATTTTTAACAACTTGAGTCCTCTTGTGAGTATTTGTATTGGTAAAAATTAGGTATGTCCTTAGTGAACAGTTTAGATTATATAGGCCACTGTGTAAAACGGTACAATAATCTTTAATTCTACTAGTCACCAAACATTGGAGGAAGTAAATAACAACTAAGAAAATGAATTGTTAACTACTATTACAACAACTAGCTGTATATCTTGCGAGTATTTGTATCAGTAAAAAAACTTGATGAGTGAACAATGTTGGCTACATACATAAGCAGTTAACAAGGTATAACAGTTAAACAAGGTCAACTATGAGACAAAAATATCAGTGATTGTTCAATCAGGGGAAAGTATCACTGGCATGATGTAGACCTTTATTTTTAAGAAATAGATTTATTAATCCGTTTGAAACCTTGATTATAGTACTTGAATACAGTAATTAAAGTTTAATTCAAGACTGTCTGTTTACAGATAAAACACATTAACAACTGTAGACTGCTGACTGATATGACAATAAAGCATAGAAGAACATTGACTGAGTAAGGGGAATTGTGCTGAACAGCAGCTGTAAAGCAGTGTTGCCACGTTTCTGGCAGCTTTCTCTCTCTCTCCCTCTCTCTCTTTCTCTCTTAGCCTGAATAGTCACCTAACGCCACCTACATCACCAGCTCTGGATACTGTGGTGGCAATCCTTCTGCCATTAACTTTATCTACCTGAGACAATTAACAATGAGGTTAATTTACTGAGTTTACTGAATTGCAATCACTATGCCAGGCTGCCAGTTATGACTGTATTGTTACAGAGGTTAACATGGAAAAACTTTGTCCTGAGTGGTATTGGACCCATCAGGATAAATAGCTGGATTCACTAATTACATGATTGACTCACATTATTTGATAATTTCTTTAAAATGTGAAACTACACCACTTTCTTTTTGATTATGTAAATTTAGCAGATCAAAAGAGGTCCAAAAATAAAATATTTTACCAAATTAAGCTACCAGACTGAATGTTTTCCTTAGTTAAACTAACGAACGTTATGCATGTAACTAAATATGATTGTTTTTAAATCTGTACAGTATTGTATTGAAACGAACCTTAAATTACATTATACAAATCACTATTTATGTTATAATTTCATAATGAGAAATACACTAGTAGATACTGCAGGTTACAATAATGCTAGATAGTGATTATAACTCACTTGGTTAGGTAAAGATATTCTTAATCACTTGGCTTATAAAAAACCACAGTTTTTGAATAAACATTTTATCTTAACACTGATAAATCTGTGTGCCAAATATTAATTAATAATAGTAATTTTTATTATTTAAAATAATTTTATTGGCATCAAAAAACATCTCATATAAAATTCAAATATTTGTATTGGACTCTTTATTTCAACCAGAGCAACTACATTACAATTTTTATAAACAGTTCCTAATTTGTAGGGTGAGTCCTTTTTTTCAACATGTAGGCTAGGCCTACTCAATTTTACACATATAAAAAAGCTAAATAACCTTCTTCTTCAACAGTAAAGTACCAAAACACTTGATGACCATGCAGCTGATTATAAAACCATTAAGATATGAAGATGTTAATTTATAAAACGTGAGATACCAATGTATTAAATATATTTTCATTTTGTTATGATTCCCAAGTAAATTTTTTTAACCAATGTACAAATACAATTTTTTTATGATATTTTAAGACTGGTTACGTGACTCGAGTGTCCCAATAGAAAACGTAATACGAAACCGGTGTGAAAATTCAATGTTCTAAATTAAGAGATAAATGGTTGTGAACTCGGATTGTTGTATAAGTTACGATATTCTTTTAACTTTACTGCTTTGGACAGTTTAAACGGTTATTCTGCCAAATTAACCATGCAGAATTATTGAAAGAATTTGTAATGAATATTGCCTCAAGCAAGTTAATATGACTGGGCATTATTGTAAGCCTATACATTCTGTGGTTATGATCAAATTAATTGACATCTCCCAAGTAATAAGCCTTGGATAGTAGTGGTTGCTGCCTACAGAAGCCAAACAATCAGAATGTTGATCTGAGTGAATGGCTCTTTGTGAAAGCAGAGTTGCAGCTTTCCTCTAACGACACAATCGTTGCATAACTTCAGCCGTGATGACGAGGGCCAAGTTTACAACACACCCTGTAAGCTGACCGAGGGCTCTTTACAAAACCTGCTTTTGTCAAGATGCTAATCAAACGTTGAAGGGTTCCCTGCGATTCAACCCATGGAATCTTTAATTGTTAAAATGTCTGAGATAAAGTTTTAACTATGCAATAAAATCTAGGAAACTGTAATCAATAATTCATAAATCAATACAAAGAATATCACTTATTGTTGTAAAACAATTGATTTTTTTGTTTCAAATAAACCAAAAGGTCACAGGTTTTAGAATAGGTGACCTAGTTTTTGTTCAGCCTGATCAAGAAAACTACTCACAACATACAAATCTCATTTAATTGATTATTATACTGCGACTCCCTGTCAAATGATTTCCTACCTGATGGTTCCTGACCCAAACTAACTTCACTTAAACAGATTAATAGAGATACTACTACTATGCCTCTCCCCACAAAAAGCCTGTAAATGGCCTCTTTTACTCTATAGTTGTATACTTGTCATGTATTGGAAAAGGTATTACAGATTTATTTTCCTTGTTAAGTGTTCCAGTTAACTTGGGTTCTGGCTACAGGAGGTTCAATATTAATTTGCATTCTAGCAACGAGTATTCCCAACCATTGTAATTCCAATTAAGTACATACCGCAGGCCTACTCATTGTACTTCAGAAAAAATATATTTTGATGGACGCTTGATAAAAAAAACACTTAGGTCTAAACAAATTAGTCTGTATGAACATTTCCTGATCTGTTTATTTGTAAAATGTTGGTTCATGTCCAAAACAATTATATAAGACTTTGAATAGTTTTTCATGATAATTATTACTCTAGAAATAAAAAACCTCCAATGTATCCTATACGCTGTTTAACCACATTCGGGAACAACTCCTTCCCTGTTCAGGAACTAAGCTAGACTACCATTCTCCAGACAAATTAATAAGTGAACCAAGAAAAACTAGAACCAAGATAATGCTGAGTAAATTTTATTATTTCATCCCAGACTTTTCTGCACACACTTTAGGTATTTGTTAACCTGTTATGTTGTATTTTGTCGGTGTTATGTATTGAAATGATTGGTGTATGTCGATAAATACTGTAGGCCTACTTGTTTAATTAGAATATTTTTACCACCCAGATTAAGACAATAACTTTACAAGATACAACAGCAATAGCTGTATGCAATAAATGATTTGAATTTGATTTTCCTCATAGACAACTGTTTAAAATTCCATTTTACAGGTCCTTGACCCTACCTGGTATCTGTATCCTCTGCTTGATTGACCTGACTACACTCAGGGCACATCCAAGGGTGTTCCGGGGGTTTGTCTAGCTGCACACACTTGACATGGTACACCCTTGGACACTGCGGACAATCGCACCGGACCACTATCCCGTCCCTGTGGCATTTCCAGCAGTAACTGTCCACTCCGTCTACCACCTTCGTTGGCTGAAACACACCGTAGCGAAGTGTAGAGCATACCCAAGTTATATTTGTGGGATCATTGCAGAAATCCATCACAATTGGTAAAAACTTTTATGTTTCAGGAGGAATCTGATCATGTCCTTAGGAAGGAAAATACCAAGTGGGAAAATGTCCGCAATAGAGCCTCAAGTAACATTTTTTTCTTAGCAAAAATATTATACAAATACAGAGACCTATTTAAACGGGAAACAATGTTAACATTTGATTTGGCCACAAAATGAGCAAAAAACATTGGACGATTAAATTATCAATAAAATCTGTAAAAAGGCATCAGCGCCTTAAAGGAACAAACAACATAGTCGCCATTTTCGGTAATTACTTTAAATTTCTCTTTCCTGGCATTTCTTGGAAAGTTTTAAGTTATCGGTAAAATAAAAGAAGTCTTTAGATATTTTTTTAATAATTTGTCAGCTAACCAAATTGAAATTGTTGCTCATCAGGGCCTAATTCAATTTTTTTTTTTTTTTTTTTTTTTTTAGTTGCAGTAGATTTTTATTTTCATTTGAAGCCAAAGTAGCCTAACTCATTGCCATATTTTATCTCTTTAATAATGAGGGTTTTTTAAAATTTGCTTACTTATTACTCCTTCATTCCTAGTAAAAGAAACCTATTTTTAAGTTATATTTTTTTTTACATTTCTGCGCACACATAAGAGGTAGTACTCTGAAAGTAAATTAGCTTGACTGACTCCCTACAGTAAGTATAAGTCAACTTTATGAGTGTTTTAATAAATATCTTGATAATTTTTATTGTCTAAACCACTACACCTCAATACTAGAGTTTTAAAACTACCCGAAAATTAAAAAAAAATTGTAGGCTTACCGTTAAATCTATTTTTTAGTCCGACAAGTTTATCAATCTAGTTATTTAGTTAAAAAAAAAAACTAGTTATTTAGGAAACACATTTTTACACTACAATACAGAAACTTTAAAATAAGAGAAAACATTTTTTATCGATAACAAGTGTTTTAACTGAATCAGCAATTTACACCATTCAAGAATTTTTGTTTGTATGTGAAAATTGCTTTAAGAAAAAAACATTATCTCCATTTATTGTTTTCTATGTGTTATCTATGTTTTCTTTTACTTTAATTTGCATTATGTTTAATTAGCTGTGCTTATTGTTTAGACAAAATCAATTTTATGGTAATTCATTTTTATATATTTTTTGTCTTGGACTGTAGTGTATTACTAGTGTTAGCAATTTAGATAAGAAAACTAATGTGAGTAATGTGACACAATTTTATGTATCAACCTGTGTGATCAGTAGGCCTATCAATTATGTTCATCAACAATTCTGGAATGTAGATAACCTAGCTGTTGTAGTCTAGACAAGATAGATACAGTATCACTTGCTCAAGATTTGAAACAGTGGCTCGTCCAGGGTAGTGCTTAGCAAGGCACTGGCTTCCCAGAACCTCCGCACACATGCAAAGATGTAAAAATGCTGATGTCAGTTCCTGCTGTCTCTGGCCTTTACACATGGTGATACACACTCCGTTGAGACAATGCCTCCCAGGCACCATTGCAACTTTTTGTAAATCTAGGTTATACTATTTTTCAAATTTTATTTTAGCACTAGGCAATTTTAAAGGATTTTATTAACGTTAATAATGTTTTTTGAACATGATCAAATTTGTGGTTTTGTATTATAATTACAGGTTACACTGTGAAAATTATTCAAGGTTCACAAATCTATTGTGTGCATTGAATTTCTATAGTTTCAAAATTACTTGTATTGTAATTTTACGATCATAAAATTCTTCAGGGGCGGATCCAGAGACGAAGTTTGGGGAGGGAACCTTCCAGGAGATCTGGGGGGTATAAAAACAGTCAGAGGGTACAGGTTCCATTTTGAAATTTTGAACCTTGAAACAAGTATTTTTAGCTATAACGACACTGCAATAGCAATGTTCAGAGTGTAGTCAATTCCCAGCAAAAACTTATCCCAATCTATTTAATTTGGTTTGTTTTCAACCAGCTTCGACTGGGTCTGTGACAAAAATCAATGATATCTTGGTACCAAGGTCAAGCTTGATCCAACGATCATTTTAAATTATTTTTATTATTTGTGAAGACATTTAAACACATTTGAACCCAAACTTAAAAGCAATTTGTCAAAAAATTACTCACTTCACTATGGAAATATTATTTAATAGTTAGAATTATTTATTGTGGATTTTAGCCTCTGGATTGCCAAATAATATTAAAAAGGTTTAAATACCTGCTATCAAGCAATCCATTTAATTGCCGGATTAGCGTTGTCTGTTGTCGTAACTGATCAGTTACCGTAAATGTTTCTTGTCCGTATATGTGTATGTGTCATGTGTAAATGTTTATTTATTTTTACATGTTAAATATGACACTCTTCTTGTGAAGAAAGAAAAATTCCTTGTACCGCCCAAAGATGACTCCACATAGGAGTCGAAACTAGTTGGGACAGCAATTAAATGGATTGCTTGATAGCAGGTATTTGAACCTTTTTAATATCAGAATTTACTTTATGTTTGTATTGCATTATGGGCGTTCCAAATAGATTATAAAAAGATTAATGAATATAATAATCATGGGAATATGAATAATCTAGATCCAGGTAATTAAATCTAACTGGATTGGTAACACTATATGGATTATATATGTCACCTCTGTATAATCAATGGTACTGACTTACTGCTGTATCTGACAGCAGGAAACTGCAACAGTGCAACTACAGTGGTCACACAGGTCAGGTCAAGAATTTAGGTTAGGGTGTTTAAGTTTTCACGCAGCCACTAGTTTTAGCTTTAGATTTTGAAGTATACTTGTATAATATTATTAAAGCAGACATCTTTAGGCACAAAAATGTAATAATTAAAAATAATACCATATTTACGTTTAATATTCAAATCACAAAGAATGCACATCCAAACAAACAAAAACATGGCATGGTGATCAAAAATGAGAGATGTCCGATGGGAAAAGTGAGAACAAGAATACAAGAAGGTCTATGCAGTGCACAATGTCTTGCCTCCCACTCAGACCAAGGGATTTTACATTCGTGTTTTGATTGCTAAGCTACTCCATTCCCAATGCATATCAACATTTACAATATCCTAATGATAATATGAGTTTTTTAGCTTTTCATCGTGAAACTGAAATTTGAAAGATAAAAATGTTATTCCTGTTAAATTAGAAGTGATTTCATTTATTTATGTTAAAATAATAAATTTAGTAGACCTACCTATATTTTGACCAAAAAAATCTTTTGGAGTGAACGTTCCCCACTCCCCCTCCCCACCGTGGATCCACCCCAGCAATTCTCTATGGCAAATTGAATTTGAGAATAGTGCATTACATTCCTCAACATACTTAAGTAGTAACCTTGAAAAAAAACTTTCTTCCATTAACTTTGATTATACGGTGCAAGTAGGCCTATACACAATTAAAACAACCATAATCTTTGGTAGTCAAAAATTGCTTAACAAACATAATCGATTAAAATATCTAAGAAATAGAATTTAGTTAACACTACCTCTTTTGTTTTCTTCCTTTTTGGAGAACTTTCATCATCCGAATCAGCTGGTCTTTTAGGAGTTGATTCTTTATCAGGTTTTTTTTTAGAGTCTGATTGTACAGGAGTCTTACGTTCTGCAGACCTTGGTTTGTTTTCCTTGTTTCCTTTCATCACTGCGGGTGAGCTCTGAGAGTTCTCACTGTCACTATTATTATTTTTTATAGGATCGTGAACTCTGTCTAAGAACTTCCGTTGTTTGGCTGCAAAATCTGGGTTCTGGCTCGATCGAGTTGCCCGTGGAGTTAACCTTGCGATTTTGTTGGCCGGGGGAGTTTGGGATGACTCAGAACCATCTCTTGTTCTTGGTTTATTGTCGGTTTGGGGAATGTCTGATTCTGGCGTACCGGTACCCTGAGTCTTCAAAGGTTCCGTTGTCGATTCTGCATCATTGGCAATCACAGATGGTTTAACATCCATTTTATCTCCACTGAAAAATAAGTAATGCCATAGGTAAAAAGTATAGGAAAACTTTAGTAAAAACGAAAATGCAAAAAGTGAGGCTTCCTCTGTAGTCCAAATTTTAGTCAGCTAAATTATGTCATCTAGCTTAGTTGCAGGCTCGACATTGTCTAAGTTGCAAAACATCAAAACATTAATAAACAAAACACAACACAAAACATGATCGAAGACAAAACAAGCCAGATAAGTTGTATTTATATACTGTAACTACTGGTAGTTATTTTGATATCTTCCCAGCTTTGGCAATGTTGGCAGGTTGCGCTTCAAATTAAACTAGTCATCACCAATTTTCAGACTAAAAGTTGTACTACAGCGGTAAGAAAGTCTGTTTTGTGAAAAAAGAAGACAAGAGGCTTTTGAAATGGATTAAAATAGGTAAGTGTTTATCCAAGTTGCATTTGTTAATAGATAGGCTAACTTAAACTATTTCCAAAAATACTTTAAATTTGATATTAGGCTTAACTTATTATAAACAATTTAAATTATAAAAGCATCTAGATGGGAAAACTAAGGGGTATATTTGAGAGCTTTGTTGTCGTTGTTCCGCTCTTTTAACTGTAGCTTGGAAGTTGCTGTTGCCTACGACATCATTTCATTTTTAAAAATATAAAATAAAAAACTACACTATATTAGCTATAATTGTGTACCGGTAATATCAATTAAACATCGCAAATTAATAAAAAATACAAACCTTAAAATTAAATATCATCAAGGCAAAATTTGCATGGGCCTAGACTATGATTAGCCTATAGGTGAATCTATGATTATAGGACGAAGACTCAGCTATGTACTAACTACTAAGCCCTAGTTTTTACAGCCTACTAAAAGTTAAGTTATTCACTAAGATTTTGAATTGAATTGAATTGAATTGAATTATGAATTTATTCCACCACATATATAAAAATTACACAACCAAATGTACAAAAGAAAAAAGGGCTTTATGCAAAACTAAACTAACTAACTATAACTAATTAACTATATACATGTGTAAAAGGTTGTTTCTATCTAATTAGTTCTGGAATTAGCAGACATAGGCTGTGCCTGTGCGTCTGCTAAGTTGCTATAAAGATCATGAAGTTAAAGTGGTGCAATTTAGTTTTATTATTTTGTATGAGTGAAAAGTAAAATTAAATGAAAAGTAAAATTAAATGAAAAATTAAATGAATGGTTCATGAATGGGCGAAATGATTATTAACGCATAGTTTTGTTTTGTCTCTAAATTTATCGTATGCTGACTCTGACTGCCTCGACTTTTTACAGGCCCTTAGTTTCAGCATAACTTAATTTTCATACAAACCTACAAGGGTAAGATCAAATACCAAATAACTTGATAGGCGATTAGGCCAATATAACTAAAATCAGAAATCCTATACCTACTATAAATTAAAGACTAGGACTGGTTAAGGATAAGAACAATTAAAACTCCTTGGCAAAAATCCTTGACAATGAAATCAAACCTAGGGTAACTTTGGCTACTGTACTAAACACAAGTACGTGGGAGAGTTAGCAAACCAATTAAAGAAAACGAGACGGAAATACCGGTACTTCACTGTCCACGCCTGGTTAAAAATACTGATTAACAATAGGCTAATGTTTTTAAAGTTATATTTCAATTTAGAACCCAACATAATATAAGCTACAAGTTTACTACAGGAACATGTAACGGAAAAGCAGTCCAAATATCTTAGTTTTAGTAGATAGGCTTTATTATCACCATAAGTTTAGTTTGGAAATGTGTTTATTCTTCCCATGACAGCCAATACATATTATGAAACACATTCGTACAGCAATCAAATACGCCAGGAATCTAACATAATATGCCTAAGTTAACTCAGGTAACTTTTTTACAAGGCAAGTGAAATGGAAAGTGTCCCATTTGGGATTTAACTTAATAAGTACCAGTGTGATTCTCGGTCGCATGATAGACTTCAATCACGGTTGATATAAACTATGATTTCAGGCTTAACAACTCAGTAACTTGACTGACAATAACTAAAAACCTTTGTTAACAGTTACTTTCAATTTGCCAATCTTGGGGTTTTAAAGAAATAGTCTGATGGGATTTATCAGATAAATTAAATTATTAGGATGATCTTAAATTTATACCATACATACAACGTATATGATCATTAAGTTATACTTTAATACTTTACTTAGAAATTGCGACCATACAAAGGTAGGTACGGTAGGCCTTTTTTTAAATTTTAAGCCAAGTACGATTGGAGATGAGTGTAGTAGGATGAGTGGCGTGATCTTTAAGTCTTGTTAGTTATAGCAGATTCAGTAAATTTATACTAAAATAACTGGTAGATAGCAAATTTATAAATTAGGCCTAATTAAATTCCCCAATACCAATCAAGCTGCACTTTAGTATCCGTCCTACACTCATTTGAATGAATATATCCGATATATCGATTAGTTCATTCGATATAACATAACCTAACAAACTGAATGAGATAATAGATACAGAATAATCTATATATCGATAAACTTAGTTTTCATTCGAATGAGTATAACTTAGGACAGATACTAAAGTGCAGCCACCATTCACCTACAGAACAACTTTACATCTTTCAAATAGGCTATGTTGAATAAATCTAATGTCTCTGAAATCCACAGATGCATTTTGGATAACTTATTTAACCAAATTAGTTCAAATATCATGGGTAACATAACTAACTACCCCTTAACACTCCATAATTGTTTAAATTTATTGAGTGATATTAAATAAATGCCAGTTTTATGACTTACCATTTTTTTTTACATTTAAAAGATTAAAACTACACTAATGTCATTTATTCACCGGTAGGACCTTTGTTTGTAGGTTAACATCACTTACAACAACAAAATGTCCAAGCCAGGCAGAGAGAGAGAGAGAGGAGAGGCAAAGGCAAGGGCAAGGTACAAAAACAGTTTACCGCCCTTCCTTCAGCAGCCTGCTTGCTCTGGCTACAGTGTTGCCAAGTGGAACAGACAGAGTTGACAGTTCTGTTTCTGCAGTCTCCAATTTGACCTTCACTGTTCCTTTACCTTTTATCAATTCCAGTTTCATTTTATTTTAATGAAACCTACTAAATTAAGTTTTATTTGAATTGTTAATTAAATGAAAATTTCCTTTGTTGTAACCCTTGATTAGCATGGAAGCTTTTGGTTGTTATTATTTTATTACCAATAAAGTGATGAATTTAATTTTGCCAAACTGTGAGGCTGAAATAAAGGAAAATCTTAGTAATTTTGTATACTTTTTACCTTCAGTACATATCTTACACACATTTACTATCAAACCACACATTTTTTTGCTTATTAAAAGTAGTCTAAGAATTAAAATTAAATAAGCTTAAAAAATTAAACAAATTATATCTAGTATATTTGAAGTGTTGATGTAAGTCTAATAATTACAGTAAAAATGACCTGTTCTTATGTTAAGGAGAGTAATTAAACTGCTGTAGTTTGTTTATTTATGGATACTTTTGTGATTACACATGGCAAACACTTATTTACAATAGTAAAGCCATAAATATTTCACTAAAAAACACATTAGGCCTAATACATTCCTGTAAGCAAACCTATAAACTCCTATAGGTCCTATAGTCCTATAAACTATAAACCTAATCCTACTCTTATATGAGCAATGTTTGCTTGTATGCTTGCTTATTTAAAGATCTCGAAAATGGCTTCAACAATTTTCCTTCAAAATGTTGCAAATAGTATTTATTTCTGGCATAAAACCGTATTTCTGGCAGTTAAAATAGAACAGGTTAATTACAAACAAACCTTAACCCAAGAGGTTTTTAATTTATGACTTAATTGCGAGGGCAGTGACATGGTATCCTCTTACAACTAGAGTTAGCATGTTAAAGTAAACCGGTGACGCCTGCTCGGCCCTTCTGGTACTGTTACTTAAATGGGGAATAAATCTGCTACTTTTAAGGAAATATTTGAGTTAAAATCCAATTAGGAAATGGAAATTCGTTTAGTTTATGCAGGTTGGTTACAGCGGGGGTATTTCAGATTGCTCTTTGTTATGCCTGGACCATAATTTTATTAAAAACTTTATCATTAGGGCAATAGCATAAAATGTTGAATTTGAACAATAAACATTTTTTCAGGACAAAGTTTCCAAAACTATTATCATACCAGGTATACCTAATCAGTTAACCAGTGTAGACTTAACTGATTTTATTGAACAAAATCTTAACTGATAAAAATATTTAAATTTTGTGAAACAGGGGTAAATTTACCTCTGCGTCACAAAGCCTTTAAGCTCACAAAGCTTTAACCTTAGCTTACAGTTCGAAGCCTTAAAGCTTCAGACTGCTTGCTGTAAATTTGATACTCAGTACTTACACAATAAAATCCCCAAGCTCTGGGGAAGGTTCCTCAGGGGGTTTTTCGATGGTCTCTGATGTAGCAACAGCTGCCGTGGAATCACATGTTGTTTCCAATTTTATTTCTTCCTCATTTTGAATGGTAGACGTTTGGTTCACTAAAAACGTTTTCACAAAATAATTTTTTTTATTTTTCCTTTTTCCTTATACAAAGTATGGAGAAATAGTCTTCCATGGTATCTCCAGGTGTTTTTAATTTGTTTAAATTTTGATTTTTAATGCTGATTTTCCCATAAAAACAGGAAAATTGGATTTTCTCAAAAATGGCCTGAACGTTTTGATAAAAAATTAGTATGTTAAGTCCTGAATTCTACACAAAATGATAAAAGTCCCAATTCCGTAAAAATTACGGTTGTTATTTCTCCATAAAAATCTGGTTTCAATTAAAATTACTGTGAGTTATGGTCCTTATAATTCTAAACAAAATAGTGTAACAACAAATAGTGGAAAACAATTACGGTTCAAAAGTTTTTGCAACTATTGTGATTTACCCTATAAAATATCATAGTTACTCCCACCGCTTACCCATTTTAAAGGTTGTTGAAAATGGTAGAAAGTATGTGTCAGATTGCTAACGTTTATTTATTTTTAAATGTTCAATATGTAGGAAGGAAACAGTACAAAATAGTCAACGTCAATCATAAAACTGATTTTTCACCGTTTTAAGTTAACTAGTTATTAGTGTAATTCTGAAAACTCAAGTGGAGACGAGTCCCAGATTAGACATACAGCTGTGGGGTAGAGACTCAAACAGTAAATTAAATGTATTTGACTATTGTCCTTTACATATTAACAGGTTGGCCAACTAGGTTTGGGCATCGATAGCCAATGTTTCTGACGTGATATATGGTAGGTTACTGATGTTTTTGGCCAGCTATCTATTTATCGATGTTTAATCCGTAATTCGATGTAATCATTTTATTAAATTTAAATGATAGTCTTTAAAAATAAATTTATTTTTTTGTATTTTTCCATTGAAAGGTTAAAAAAATATTGAGAACTAGATGAGACTTAATTAGGCAAGGGAGTGAGATAACTATCTACATTGTTGAGGTGCTTGTTCTAAATGCTGCCAAAATCAATGCATTAGCAATAAGTTTTAGCAGCAGCACTCCTGCTCAAGCAAGCATAATCAATTAAGACTGATATTTTGTCTTGCCAATGAAAGAGAAACTGCCAATATTGAATGTCCAGCTAGTGCCTTGGAAGCTAGGTTAATTATGCAGTAAGCAGACAAAAAGCTTTAAGTGAAAAACATTGATTATCGATGATTTTTTACTGAAAACATCTATGATTTTCTGATGATGATATTATTGGTACAGATATTTGAATTATTACATTAAAGTAAAGGAAGCCCAGTGACTGATGTGACTGGAAGGGGATCGGCAGAATATGAATCAATAAATTGATGTAACATAAATTAATATAATATGATGCCTTCTTGTAGTTTTCGCTCCTCGTCTACTTCTTATGGTCAATCACTGTCAATAATTAAGTCTTTGCTTTACATACGTATGTATTCAATTAATTGTTATGTTTGTAAAAATAAGGGCCCTCTAACTTTGAAAGAAACCCAATCAATTTTAACTTACCACATTGGTCTGTTTGGCTTTGTACAGCACTATCATCATTTACTCTTTGGTTTTCAACATTTTTGCTTGGAGTGTCCATACTGCCCTAGAATAGAACATAATTTGGTACTGTATATAGATGAAAACTCAAAACATATTAAAATACATAAATAGTACGGTACAGTCTTTATAATGTGCCTAGCCTTTACGCAATTTAACTTCCCAGAAACAGGATGGACGAATGCCAAAGAGATTTTATGAACACCACATGCACAAAATGTTTAAGCAGTACACCGTGAACATGATTAATATTTTTTTTTCTATTAAATTTGGAGCGTCTCAGAGTACAGCATATAAATAAACCTCGTCACGGATGTTTTGTATGAATTGGACCAATAAAACAGATAGCATACAAACATTCATATAAACATAAACATTCACTTCATCAGCTGTAGTATGACTAAAACAAAAATAACTGTTTACTGAAAGCAGGCATTTTCAATAAAATCAGTCATTTTTTAGTAATTTAAGTTTAAAAAATTAAAATGGCCACCATTTTGAAATTTTACATTTAATCAAGATGAATTTTCTCTTAGTATTTTCTACCTTAACATGCATACCAAGTTTCATAAAGATCAGTTGAAAAAATTCAAAGATAGAAATGTTTATGTAAAGAATACAAAGAAAGAAAACGTCCTTGTACCGGATGATGGATCCACATAGGTGCTGAAACTAGTTGCATTTGCAATACAAATGGATTAATTGTCTTATAGCAAGTATTTAAAAGTTTTTTTAATAATATTTTACATAGAGAATTTTTCTTAATACTACATAGGTAATTTGTTTAGTTTTTACTCTGAAATTAATATTTTTCATAGGGTCATTAACACTTTTCCTCTGACATGGCACCGGTGGCGCACGAATGAAATTTCAGCCAAAAGTTAGTTTGTCTACCATCCTACTACATAAGACAATAAAACGAAAGCGTGTTTATCCTCGGAATACTTATATAATTAATATATTTATCAACCATACACTACTTGTACCGTTTTAGTAACAAAATAAGATAATAATTATGCTAATTAAACTGTTTTAATGTGACTGTTTTAGTTCACATTAAAACTATTATTGAAAACTAATCCTCTCTTTTTTTATTAAGATATGATGTTATCAGAAATCATTTTCTATTTTATATGTTATTGATGTTCCAGGCCAGCTTGAAGAAGAAATTGTTTGTTTAGTTGTTTTGTTCTATCTAATATATAAAATTCTCGTGTCACAGTGTTTGTCTGCAAACTCCTCCGGAACGACTTCACCGATCGTTATGAAATTTGGTGTGTAAATTCTGTAGGTATGCGAATCGGACGTAAACTATTTCCCGTTTCGAAATTCTTAAAAGGGTTCCGCCCCAGTGGCTCTGGAGTTTCCCATGTTAACCTTATGAGAAATGGAATTAATGAATCTTAACAGCTGTTTCAATTACACAAGTTGGTTCTGTTCTATGATGTTCAATAGCATTAAAGTTACAAGGATTACCAACAGGGTGCAGCACTATTATTTCTTTTACATTTATGACAACAGCTAATTTGCAACCAAAAGGTGAGTGAGCGTAGCGAACGAACTTCAACCTGGAGGCGAGTGAGCGTAGCGAACGAGCTAACCTGAAGGCAAGTGAGCGCAGCGAACGAGCTCCAACCTAAAGGTGAGTGAGCGTAGCGAACCAGCTCCAACCCAAAGGTGAGTGAGTGTAGCGAACGAACTTCAACCAGGACGTGATTGAGCGATGCGAACGAGATCATCTTGAAAATTAAACGTAACGGTACTTTCTTTCCATCGGTCTGTCTTAGGGGAAACCTATAACTTAGGCGATACGAAGTTCGCCGGGTCAGCTAGTATATTATATAATTTAAGTTTAATTTTATATTTACATCTACTTTAATTTACTTCATGACAATTTGTAAAATGCAATCTGACCTATCCTATTGTACTTTATTGTACCGAATGGAAATAAATATATTTTATTTGATTTGATTACGGTAAGACAATACACGAAATTATACCATAACTAGCAGAGTACTCGTCCTTCGTACAGGGTTGGAATATAAGTATAAAATGATTATTGCAGTTATACTCAAGCTTTGCGTTTGCAATAAGGGAGGACACAGTTTGATGAAATTTGCTTTTTTTTTATTTACAGTATTCTATAGTATTACACATCTACCATAGCCATAATGTTCTACCACTTCACCTAAACAATAGAGAAAAATAAATTATCAATAATTCGCAAAATATCACAAATGAAAAACATAAACACAACTGTTAACAATCCTACTTTGACAGTTCTCATTGCGAATCACAGTTTTTTGTTGCTGCTTGGTTCAAATTAGCTGTATTCATAAATGCAAAAAAAATATAGTGCTGCACCCTGTTGGTAAATCTTATAACTTTTTAATGCTTTTCCATATCATAGAACCAGCTTTTTTAGTTGAAACAGCTGACTAAATTCTTTAATTCCCTTTAAATATGAATACTCATAAGGTTAACATGGGGAATTACAGAGCCACTGGGGCGGAGCCCGAAAGGATTTTTGAGATAAGAATATGCCTATATGTTAATCGGGAATGTGAGCTATCATCATGCCAAATTTCAGGACAATCCGTCCAGTGGTTTATGTGTGATTGAACTTCAAACACACAAACTTTCACATTTATAATACTAGCAGAGTACCCGTCCTTTCGTACGGGAGTGGCATATAAGTATAAAATGCTTAGTACAGTTATACTCAAGCTTAGCGTTTGCAATGAGGGAGGACAAAGTATGATAAAATTTGCTTCTTTAAATTTACAGTATACTATAGTATTACACATCTACCATAGCCATAATGTTCTACCACTTTGTCCAAACAATAGAAAAAAATAAATTATTAAAGATTCACAAAATATCACAAATTATTCGTGAAATTAAAATCATAAACATAACTGTAAACAGACAGTTCTCATTGTGTATCACAGTTTTTTAAATGAAAAAAAAATATAATAGTGCTGCATCCTGTTGGTAAATCTTATAACTTTTAATGCCTTTGCATATCATAGAACCAACTCTTTTATTTGAAACAGCTGACTAAATTCTTTAATTCCATTTAAATATGAGTACTCATAAGGTTAACATGGGAAACTCTAGAGCCACTGGGGTGGAGCCCGAAAGGATTTTTGAGAGAAAAAATATGCCTATATGTTAATCGGGAATGTGAGCTATCATCATGCCAAATTTGAGCCCAATCCATCCAGTAATTAATGTGTGATTGAACTTCAAACACACAAACAAAGAAACACACAAACTTTCGCATTTATAATATTAGTAAGATTAGTAAGATCATATTTACAATAAGCAGAAATGTATGAACCGGTAACGTTTGCCAATTTTTCGTCAATTAAAATTAGAAATCTGTATGAAACCGGTATTTAGTGTATTTTATAAAGTTACAATTCAATTTTCACTTTCTTAACCGTACACAATTTTAAACTTACAAAATAGTTTGTTACTGAATAAGAAGTATTTGATTATTAGCCATTTAAAATTAATTATAACTCAATTTTCACTTTCTAAGTACACAATATCTTAAACTTAAAATATAGTTTGTTACTTAATAAGTTAAAGTATTTGCGCACTAATGCCGACTTAAGGATTACTTGGACAGAATCAAGGTAACTTAACCTCTTGTATACATTAAAGTATTTAATTTTTTAGCCATTTAAAATTATTTACAATTCAATTTTCACTTTCAAAGTACAGGTACATAATTTTAAACCTATAAAATAGTTTTTTACTTGAAGTATTTAATTATTAGTCATGTAAAATTAATTGGATTTTTACCTTTGCATGCTGTTTTAAGAAGAAAATTAAAATCAAATTACCACTGTGATAATAGAATTTATTTTCTAGACATTTAAACTAAAAGACTAGTCAAAGCTCGCATTCCTCACCGAAACACCTTACTACTTCCTCCTCTACCTCTCTCAGATCAAACTTGAGTGCCCTGGCTGAGTGTTACAGTGTGCACTGTGCAGTAACTGACAACGACAACGTCTCCGTGCTCCGTCTGCCGTCTGCGCTCTGAGTCTGCTGATAGCGAGTGCCAGTGCCAGTTCAGCCAGATGCCAGTTAGTGAAAACTTACTATCGATAGTACTATCGATAGTATCGATAGTTTGAAAATATCGATAGTGGGTCGATAGTATTATACTATCGATGAGACTATCGATAGTTTTTTTTACGTTAAATTAAGTAAAGAAATCATTATCTGGTACTCTTACATTTCATTGTTTGTCTGTTAATGCATACCTATAGTTAATATTATAGACTATTTTTTTTTAATTCATTGTAGAAAAGCTTGGTAGACAAGTAGGCTACCTTCTCAAACATTTGAAAGCGGGGGCATTTGCTAATTCACTACCGGACTTATGGGTACATTTGCCTCATGAGTTTTAGCATACATAGTAGACACCGGTATACGGTATTTTCCTTTGATCTATGGTTTTAGATTGTCATAAAATATATATATATATTATTTATGCTATGTGAGTAAAAAAATATTTTTGTAGTGAATAATAAAAAGAAAATAGTAAGAGAATTTTTCTTTTTTTATTGTTGTAACCGTTAAACAAACTTATTGTTATTTTATACAAATGTTGTAATATTTTGGAAAAAAAACATAAAGGGGGCTCCAGGGCGTCACTCATAAATTGTTAAAATTAATAATCTGATACAGCTTTATCTTCGACTAGGTAGAAACCATTGTTTAAACTCATGCAGGCAGGATATATACAATATTATATGCATTAAAAATCCATTTGAGTGACTATCGATAGTACTATCGATAGTACTATCGAAAACTATCGATAGTGTGACTATCGATAGTAAGTTTTCACTAGCCCGTGCCACTGTCAGTACAGTGCAACTGCAACCATAGACTGCAACTGGAACTGGATGGAACTGGACTGGGATTCGCCTCACCGCCCCGCCTCCAGTTCAATCGAATCGAATGCTCTGCTCTGCACGACTCACTCACGCTCAGCTCCAATGACTCCATCTGTTTTACTTCAGTACTTCACCCTCCCACTCTCATCTCCAAATCGCGATAATGAAGGAAGAAGGAAGTACCTTTTCCCCGAAAAGTATCAGTATTGCCATTAGCCACTGTTTCTGTATTACAAAATGAGTGTGAAAAATGTACCATTGATTATTGATTAGTAGTATGTACATGATTGAGAGGTCTATTATTATTAATCTTGTATCTAGCTTTGAATAAAGCAAGTTATGTAGGCTGTGGCCACGTGGGCGTTTTTCACGCAGGAATGCAGCGTAAAAACATGCGAAATGTTTTAGTAGCATTGAAACTAATACCACAGAAAACGGACTGCTAATACGCGCCCGCTACTGCAGAAAAACACACTGCGTGTGGCATTCCCCGTTTAACAGCTCATATTTTCGCTTGATTTCACGCTGCGTTCGTGCTTCAAAAAACCCGCCCGTGTGGCCATAGCCTTGTAGCATAGATCATTATAGTGACTAGAGGTCGTCCAGTGGTGTAAAACTTGACCAAAAATAATCTACAGACTTCCCTATTTTCGCCCTACGACGTAAATAAAACCTGTGATTAGAATGTATTCAATTTGTGTCGATTTTCTGTTTATATCATTCTAGCAGCCAGCGTCAGCACTTCAGTGACTGCAAAATAAATTATGCTGTATTTGAATTATTTTACAATTTTCTATTGCTCTGAAGTTGAAAATTATCTTTTTTTGTGGTAATAATTAACTTAGCCTATCACTGACTTGTAATTTTTCCAAGCAACCCATGAACATAACTTTGTACAGTAATTAGTTTTTCCAAATACTAATAGAGTGTTTACTCCCCTTCTTATAAACACAAAATTCACAAAATACACTGGTACTGAAACACAAAATCTAACATAAATCGGTAGTTATTTACTATATAGGTGCCTCCAAACGAATTTTTAATTTTGATGTCTTATTTTGTGTTTTTACCTCATGAATTCAAATATACCATCTTTTTTACCATCACCGCTGATGAATATTACTGAAAATATAGTTGTTAAAATGTGCAATAATGTTTAAATAAACATAAGGTAAGACAAAGCTAGGTGGAACACAAAGAAGTTAATCCTCAGGAAATTTGCTAAAATGGGGTTATATAGTAAATGGGTTGTGTTCTAACATAACCTAACCGAACCAAACTTCTAAAACGTCAGCCAACTTCTGTTATGCCAGAAAAGACATGTCAGGGTGGTCGGTCGGGCCTTAGGCGAATTTGTGACGGTATTAAGTTATTTGAAGGTATACGTTTTTTTTTATTAGGTAAGGTAAAGTTTAGGTTATAATGAATTGAATTGTTGGTTTACGTTACCTAAAGACTGTTTTTGTGCAATTAAACCCCGTATAAAAACACTTCAAAACACTATTTCCAAAATGCAAGCATTTTTTAAATATTATTTTGAAGTGTTTGATAGTGCTTAAATAACCTGGTGTGGATTAACGTCCGCACTAGTGAGTACTACGACTATCCGCAGTATTATCCTGATAATTAGACCAATTCGTAAATTACAAGGAAAAATGTGGTTCGGATTCCACTATAAACTGTAGGTCCCTTAGTTGCCATTAGCTGTATGGGCTATTAATTAACAGCTGTGTCTAAGGAACATGTCGGCCTTAGTCACTAACAAGACTACAAGATCGCGCCACTCATCCTACACTCATCCTTCACTCATATTTGGGTTAAAATACGCACATAGTGGCGTCCCCATCTTAAATAATTGAATTGAATTGAATTGAACCCCAGGACGACATTTTGTAGTCTACTCCAAGTTTGTCTCGTCTGCTGAGGATCTCTCCTATCTTCAGGAATCTTACGATCGAACGCTCATAAAGATCCAATGGTTCACTATTGGAATGTTGTCGTTCCGAGTCGTACGACCGAAATCGTATAGTGGGCGAGGGGCCTTACCAAGCTCTTAACAAAGTATCACTGCAACTGGGAGACTTCAAACTATCAACATAGATAAAACATACCATGTTTTATCTATGCTATCAATTATCAATCAATGATATGGTGACTCCACCTAAGTGCATATTTTCACACAAATATGAGTGAAGTGAGTGTAGAATGTTGTAAGATAATACGGGTGCTTTTTTTTGAACTAAGACCAGCTGTTTGATTAGCCAGGATCTAAAGCCCAATGATCAAGAACAGCTTGGTCCAGTTTCGAACCATAGGGTCGAACCAGCGACCTTTTGATTGTTAGGCGAGCACTGAGTTTGGACCGCTTTCCTTTAAATGCGTTTGACTTCATTACAAAAATGCTACTGGCGTAGAAACGAGCAAAAAATAAATACTGTAAAAATAAACTAAACCCCTGGGCTAACCAGCCATTTACTATCTACCTATGCCTGAGATGCTCAGCAACTCTGATAAAAATCAACACACCGTAAAATTGTTTTGTGTTCGTACCACAAATACTAGGAATAATAGTCAAGTATTCGTGGTTAGTACCAACTAGGGGAATCAACTAGCGCATTGGCTCGTGGCTTTATTATTGTATTGCAAAGTATCCAAAGTCAATGGTACAATGTCAACAATGTTCTTTACTCCTAGACCATGGAATGGCCACCTCAAAGGAATGGACCATGGTTCTTTACTCCTCAAAATGGAATGTCCGTTGAAATAAAATAAAATAAAACAGAACATATAACGGCCAACGTCTTTTTCCATTCTCTAATTCTGTACTACCTTCAGTTATAGCATAGATTAAACATACTCCCTTAGTAGATTCTCCGCGGGATAGGGGTCGGTATGTTCGAGCGCTTGTACGGCGAAGTTGCGTGCTGTCCACGTAGTTCAGTACGGTCAGGCTAGGAGCGCTAGAGGTCTCGCCGTACAGCCACACACACAAACACACTCTTACCGCGTTATAGCTCTCACACGCGCGTCCACAAGCCCCGCGCGCCAGCACTGAGCACCAGCGAGCAAGGAATACCACCTTGGCACAAAGGACACGACCACGACACTCACACCCAGCTTGATTCCATTAAGCGTGATTTGTACGTGCAGAGCCTCGGCTAACTGTATTTCAGTATTTGTAACACCAGTGTTTTATTGCGATTGTTCTAGTTTAGTTAATGTGATGTTGATAATTAAATTAATTGTTCTTTTATTTGAATAGCAATAGAATTATTATAGAATTACAATAGAATTACAATAGAATTATCTATTGTATTTGTTACTTGTGAGTATTTTTAACCGACTTCCCCACTACCAACAAAAGAATGAGGTTCTCAATTCGTTTGTGCCAATGTATTTTTTTCTATAGATGTTCATCAATTTCTCTGGGATTTTTATACCGATCAGCGTGGTTCCACTCCCAAAATAACCATGGTTTCCCTTTGGTACCATATATAACATTATTTTTAAGTGTAGGCCTAAATATTGGCTCCAGTGAAAAAATGCTGAAAACCTTTATAAAATATTTATTTTGTTAATATTTTTACAGAGAAAGCAATAAATAATAATAATATTCTTACAACTGTTAGTTGAAACGATGAAGGTACAGAGACAGATCTTCATGAAAAAGTTGCTTAATATATTTCATGCCATGGAGCCTAAATAACTGACTTTGAGTTTACTAGGCGTTTTGTTTTGGTTACTATGCAAAAGGTATTTCAACATTTGACCTGCATTTTGTATAACTCCGTTTTGAGTATTGAAATTGTATTCTGTTATCAACACCATAAAATAAACATCATAACAATAAAATATAGTATATCATTGGTAACATTATTCCAATCGAACAATACACTTATTTCCTATTGATTTTTAAGACATAAAACTTTTAGGCTACGTCGGTTTACAAAAAACATGTTTGGCTGCAAAAGATAGGTAATAGGGTATAGTGTGGTAAAAAATAGAGTTCGTATCACGGACCGAGATGGTTTTGCAGCTCTCGATCGATTTAATTTCTGGCAATCCCAATTCATCACCTGGTTTACCAAATGTTTACAACCAGGAATTATGTAACCTGAACAGGTGACTCAAGCAGTTTTAAAATAATAACTGTTCAGTAACTTTCTTGATCAGTCCAAACAATTTTGCTTTTAAAAACCCTTTAAGTAATAAATATGTTACAAATTAGAATTAAGTCACTAATAAGATGAAATAATTTATCTTTGTAAAAAAACAACCGATTTCAAACCCTCTAAAATAATAAAAACAATAAGATCATAACAGGATAGGCAACATAAATATATAACAAACATAAGCACTGTTTTTTATACCAAGGAAGTATTTACTTGTATTTTATATTTACTTCTGAATGAATTCAATATGCAACTATGACACACTAATTGTATATATGAATAAGAAACAAATTATGTTGATATTATGTTAGGGAAAAGAGGCTAGGTCAATATTAAAACGTTACTTATCCAAATTAAAAATATTTAAATGCATTATCATTAAAAGATACTAGTTAATATCACTATAGGATTATAATTTATTATCTTATAAAAAAAATCTTTAAAAAGGTATCTGCCAATGATGGGTTACAATAATAAAATAACTCCAAACGCAAAACTCTGAAAAAACATGAAGATTAACATCATTAGTTATATATAACCACCTGCAATGTGGACATCCTCTTTAAATTTTCAGTATGTTGTGTCAAACATCATCATAGACTTCAAATACGTGAACTTGAACATTACAAAAGTTTACTTTGAAAGATTTATTTTATTATTTTTAGAGTGTTTAAAGTAGGTTGATTTTTTTACAAAGATACATTTTTAGAAGTTTACAACTGTTAGTTAAGGAATTAATTAATGTGATATATATAGGCCTATACAAAATTCTTAGGTTTTCTCTTCTTAGTTATACGAGTCGGTTCGGCTCTTTTAACAGACCGATTTTCATAATTAATTTTGGTCTAAAATTCAAGGTACATACACGCACAGATTTGCCATCAAGCATCGGCATTCGTTTATCTAGAGTCTAATTCAAGTTATGCACAAACGAAACTTCCTCCATGAACATTTCTTTTAGGAGTTAAATTTGGTATTTCTTTTCCGATTTTCTTCTCCTCCATGCAGGATCTCAAGACAGTCCGGACTCTCAGTGGTTAGGAAATAGTGCTCAAAAAGCGATTGTGAACTGTGATGAGTCGTGCACGGAATCAGGGAGGTTAGTTATCCTAGTCTACGCCACAAATAGGTTATACAATAACCATGTAATCAATACCCTGCAGCCCAACATGTTAAAACATTCTTGAAACTATTTCCGAACATATGCGAATTTCCCATATAGGGAATAAGCTATTACCGTAGTACTCATGGTAAAACCTGGACCCGGGGCCGATTTAATTATTTTGCTTTGAGGTCCCTAGAGGCCGTAAAACACCATCCGTTGAAATTCATCGCGCAAATCGCGTATATATATATATATATATATATATATATATATGTGTCCGTTAGCGCGATAACTCGAGCAAAAATGGTCCGATTTTTATGAAATTTAGTACAATATTTCTATGTAAAAAACATTATAAACTAAAGAAAACAGTGAGTGTAAATGCACGTGTTAACAATGGCAGTGTCTGGCGGTAGCTTCCGATGCAACGTCACATGGTGGCGGGGTTGGAAGGGCAGCATCAGGCGGCACGCGTTCACTTCAAAGGACTGGGCTAACCCAAGGTCACACTATAGTGTACGCACCCACTCACCACCGTCACCGCGGACCAGGTGAAGAATACTATTCTTAATTCGATTATTTTTTACATTTAGTTTTGCATTGCAGTTGTTTTTTTATTATTTCAATTTAAAAATTGACAAACAACTTATTTTATTAACACTCTAAGCATTGCCTTACAATATTATATTACAAAACCGTACACCTACTTTAAACCGAACCTGCTTGAGGCTGTTTAATTGCGCGGACTGCAGGAGGGACTTGATGAAGCCACTATGGACTTCTGACACTAGCGGAGTTCAGTTTTGATGCCGTTTTAAAGAAAAGCATCCGTGTTTTTATGTTCAAAAACACGGTACTGTTAAGGATGCGCTCTGCCTCAGCTCAGAAATCTCAACTCGGGCCAGTAGATATGTTGCGCCATTGAACAGCGCCACGAGAAGCGCTTGTAGACGTTTTAGTCCTCTTAAATAACTCGATTAACTTTTGAAATATTTTTCATCTGAAGATTGTTCCTTACTCCTTAGATTAAAATTTATGACTCTGGGGTCCGGGAACATCGGTTGCAACAGTTGCGCGACTGTCCCCAGACTGTTTCCTTCGTGTGCGCACTCCAATTTAAAACAATGTTGAACATTTTAGTCGGGCAACTGTTGCGCGACTCAAAATCGCCTGTGTGCGCCTGGCCTTAACGTAAAATGTGTTAATTATTTCGAGCACCTGATCCTCCTTCGCTCGCATCCAGGTTCGGATGCGACATGGATAAGCCGCAAAATTGCTGGTAATGGCTAAACAAAGGTCGAAGGCACTAAAAAACAAAACACAAGTGCTTTAAATAAGTTCATTATACAATGCACTCTACGAAAACTTAATAAATGTCATCAATGGTATTGACGAAATTTAATGTACGAAAAATTATACTTACATTTTTTAGTTTAATTGTAGTGAAAATTGTTTAAATGTAAACAATTCGTTTTTAATTGTTGGTTATGTTATATATGGTTATGTTAGGATGCATGATATAAATATTGCTGTGATTAGGTTGTTTGGGTGTAAGTAGATTAAGTAACCTAAAATGCTGTACGATGATTAATCTATACTTATACTTATCTATCTATATATTAATAGGCAAGCATGTTTCTTTAAAACCTTTTTTCTCAGCTCGTGTGAATCGTAGGGAAAATCTACGCATACCGTTGGAAAGCTATTTTCCTGTAGGTGTGCAGAATCCCTTTATAAATTTAAATAGGCTCAAAGATAAGCACAAAAAATGAGTTTAAAAATTTGAAAAAATTAACATGGATCTTATGCGTTGCTATGCTGGTTACGAAATAACAACAAAATATAAACAGAAAATCAAAACAAATGGAGGAAACTCCAATCACATGTTTTATTTACAGTGTGGGGTGAAAATAGATAAGTGAGTACATTACATATTTTTGGTCGAGTTTCGACCACTGGACGACCTCTCGTTTTATTTAATACGCAAGCAGGTTTTTTGTGACAATTACTCCTCCGAAACTACTGAACCGATTGACATGTTTTTGGTGTCGTTGGAAAGAGCGTAACGTGAAGTTGTGCAGGAAACTTTATTTTTATGGAAATAATTAGAGAGTGAGACCCTGGGGCCCTTTAAAGTTTTGTATTCCTCCATAAGATTAACATGGGAAACAAAAATTTTTATAAAACTCCAGCTGTTGACAGAAATTAAAAGTGAGAAGAAGAACACATGTTAATTGCAAACAGTCAATAAGTTTGCTACAAACATTTACTGACTTGGTTTAAATGAAATATTTACTATTTGAATTTGGGTTGGCGTAAATATTACAATGGAAAAGCGAGAGAGCCTAGATAAAATTACATAATCTGTTGTGTACATCTTGAGTATTTCCATAATCTTTGAGTCAAATCTTTTTAAGTCATCAGAAATTATGACTGTTATTCGTTTTAAAATAACGTAATACTTAGCAATTGCTCGAATTCGAGCAACAGGGACACTAGTGTTATTAAAACATAGTATTACCACCTAGTAATCGCGAGTATTACAATGTTATTATGTAAACATTAGAGTCAAGTGTTTAAATACAAAACGTCAAATTAAATACATTGACGAGTTAAACATTTCATAATTATTTCCTTTGGATCCTTAAATTTAAATTGTTTATAAATACTTACCTAATGTTTCGCAATTACTTTCTAATACAAATAATAATTAATTGTATTTCCAGTTCATAAAGAGTTTCAAAATTAAATTCTCAAATCACAGACATTACTTCATTTATTTTAAACAAAACTTTGCGAAGTTTTTTGCCAGTAACAGTCGTACACTACTCTCGAATACGGATTTTTGAGTGTCCATGAGGATTTCATCTCCGCCCGACAAAATTAAAAGAAAAACATGTAATTTGGGAAAAGTATGAATTATGTAGGAAATAAGGGTTTATTTTTTATTATTTATTTAAAAATGATTCGTTGGTAATGACTAATGAATGAATGATCGGTTATTTATAGTAGGCCTACACTATACACCTTTTATTCCATGACTATGAGCTTCTTTTGTACTTCGTATAAAATAACAGAAAAACTATATTCGCGTATGATTGTAAAATGTAAGGGATTAGCTGCTAGTGCTTCGCTGTGCTGGCTGATTAGCTGTACGGCAACAACGGCGCCGACCGTGTGTTGGGCTCTGGCTTGGGCCATTCTCGCAGACGAATGCTGTCGTTGCGTTGTTCCTCTCATCGCCACGAGGTTGCGCCATTGCACTGATGCCGCCTAGAGCGCTAGTACTAGAAATCCCGGATAGAGCGCACTGAAGTTTGCCCCGTTTTAGCCGTCCTCACCTTATAACATGCCGGCGGGGAATCTACTAAGGGAGTATGTTTAGGAGTATGTTTAATCTATGGTTATAGCTTAGTGGTACAGTACAGTATTACCATTGATTATATATCTCTAATGGTATTACTGACGTAATACCGTAGATTAAACATACAGAAGAGTATATTCGATCAAAAGGTCCTAGATGGATTTTTAGATTTTAGATCCGACAATCAATTCATGGTTAGTTAATATGCGTGTCCCGCTCAGGCTCAATATTGCGAGCAGACAACCTAGTATTAAAGATATTATATTTGTAAGTTTGGAAATTTTTCTTTTCCTTTTACACCCGTGTGGCAGTACTGCATTTCATATTTTCCGGCAACCGGCAATACCGGCATCCTTTGCAATGTGGCTTTCTGTTCTAGGCAAATTCGGCCATTTTGGCAGAAGCTGTGCTCTCGTTGTGTGGTGCTGGAACCGATTAACGTCTAGGGTGAGTAATACTAGCCAATTCGATGTTTATTTTACATTTTATCTACTGTTGTGAATACACAGTTTCATCCTGAATTTATTAGGTATAGCAAGTGTTTTCAGTTAAATCCTAGAATAGCCTATCTACCTCACACAGGCTAAGCTTACTGAGGCTACGTTCCTTAGTCTACGACTTGAGCATGGCGGTCACATTATGGCCTTACCATTGTTAAACACAACGGAGTTCGTCTCAAAGTAACCGAGGGTTTGCTTAATGTGTGTAGCTTTTTGGATATTTAATAGAGCCCATCAATCTAGAACTAGGCTAGGTAGCCTAGTTTGTCCACCATGTGGTTAGGTTAACTTGATAAATTCCACGTTAACTTACTCTGCTGAGGCCTCATAGGCCTTCATAAATGGCCTTAGGCCTACATAAATTAGGCCTCAATAAATGAAATTTCAAATATTTACCGTACCGACACTGGGATATTAACTTATGTAATTTTTATATTATGTCTACTTAAGTTACTACAGTATTTTTCACGCTGAATCCAAAAATGCAATCAGTTTTTGTCGGAGAGATTCCTAATTAACTTCAGGGTTGGTACGGGCAGGGAAAACCTGGAAATGTCAGGGAATTTTGTTGGTCTGGAAAAGTCAGGAAATTTTGAAAAAAATCTGGAATTTCTCTTGAAAGACTAAGTACATTTTTTACAGATATGCTACATTTTCCATCTACGTCTCAATACTTTGTCAAAAACATCGATGTAACAATAACATCGGGAACCTACCATTGATATAAAAAACATCGACAGACATTCTATCATCACCCTCTGATTACTGGCTTTAGTTGAATCTCCCAGTGTTTCTACACGACCAAACGATTATAATCCCGGTCACTGGTTTAAGAAATCCCGTTTAATCCCTTAAGATTTTTTATGTTAAATTCTGAGTGTTAAATTGGACATATTGTGTTTAAATAGTTGTTTTAACATTGCTATTATATTTTGTTTAAATAGTTGTTTTAACATTGCTATTATATTTTGTTAACCCTCCGAGTGTCATGCGTCGCTGCAGCGACTCACAAACACTGTTTACTGCGAAGGCTCTATGACTGACAAAATCGGATTGAACTGGATCGAGTTTGGTATCGTTCTTTTCATTATATTCTAAGCTTTCTCCAGAGGTCTGTCTCTAAGCGCTTTATGTTCTCCGAGCCGATCGTAATTGTAGCAGACAGCTGACGTGCGTATTTGTAAACAGGTTATTTAACCTCGGACCGATGACTGATGTGTTTTATTATGTTTATCATTGTTTTAGTGTTAAAAATCAAAAGTAGTGATATACGTGGTGCATTATAAGACAGGGTGTCTACCAACCGGGAAATCCGGGAATTGTACTTAATTTTTTACTGGCCATGAAATGTATGGGAATTGTCCTTAAATGCCAGACTATGTCCTTAAATTTTTATTGGGCCATAATTTTATCAATCGCTAAGGTAAACCTACCAAATACCGGAAGCTTAAGGGTTATGTAAGGTTCAAACACTTTTGGAAGCTTAAATAATGCCTATTTCTAACATCCAAATATATAACCTCGATCCTTGATCGATTTTACAACAAATAAAAACGGTTATGTCATAAAACACTTGTGAATATGATTTTAAATACGTAAAATCTAATCACGCTACATGAACGGCCTAAATGCCTAACTTCGGAAGGCTGATGCTCTAACATCGGAATTCGTCTGCCCAACATCGGAAGTGTTTGGAAAAGGGGAGATATCAAAGGTTTACATCTCGTTGAATACTATGACGTCATAGGAGAACGAAAAACTTAATACCGAAACCATATGCAAACACAAAGGACACATTACACTTACACAGTCTTAGAATAGAATATCGCCAGAGTGAGGTCATTGCACAACACTACATTAAGGAATGCCATGCACCATAAGCTGGGATCAGGTGGAATGTTTGCATCATTGCATTCCAACCAATGACTAGGCATGGTATGCAGCCTAAGCTGGGACCAGGTGGAATGTTTGCATCTTTGCATTCCCACGAATGACGAATGGAATGCACTAATATAGCTGGGATATATATATATGGTGGAATGTATATATGAAGTCATTCCTTGAAAATGTTGTTAAGTAACTTTAAACTTGTTTTGTGCTCTATTTAAGGTTGTTGTGTTTGATTACCATTCGTACACATCATAACGTTGTATGAAAATAAATAGAACTTGCTGTATATTTTTTTTACTTACCGACTTACCTCCCTTTACTTACTTTCCTTTTTTTATACTGTGTGGATAAGCTTTTTCCTTCAGAGTAGGCTTAAACAAGATTACAGTAACTTATAGATTTATAATTTTTCACTTTGAGAATGATTAAGCCTACTGAAAATTTGGTGTAGTCTTAATAACTTTGGTTTGCAAATATAAGATTAAAATAACTGCTCTAAAACTTAATGACTAAGGTCTGAGTTAAGTTGTTCACACCTAAGCCTACACTTAACTTATATAAGGAGAAGAATTTTTAAAGAAACGAGAGAGATGTTTGTAAATCAATTTAACTTAGTATTTAATAGCTTAAATTCACATGCAATATTTCGGCAAGAAGCGAGACATAACGTGCAGAAATGACAGCAATGCAAGAAATTTATACAAAACCCTGATAAGTAATTTACATGGAAGAAATATGTACATTATGAAGTATGTACAAAATGACAAAAATAGACGGCATAATTTAAATTACAGTTATGCAAGAAGTTATATACAAAACACTGATAAGATATTTACATGACAGAAAAAATATGTAAAAAGGTAAGTTACACAAATCTGGGATTGACAAATTAAATAGGTACTTGCTGGTTAAAAACTGAAATATACACTAATCTACTGAAACTGAGTTAAATTAAAACAGATATTAATTTACAGTCATGCAAAAATACCATGCAATATTCACATTAGATACATTATTCACATTAAATACATATTTACATTAGATACATTATACTTATTATATATACAGTGAGAAAGAAAAAGGTGGAATAGGAGAGGTGGTTGCAAGAGATGGAAAAGGGTGTCAGCGGATCAATTATTCATGACTTTTTCTCGGAAAGAGAAAAACCCCCTTCTTTCAACGCGTGGTGCAGAAAGTATTTGGACGATCTCAGATGTGTGAACGTTTTCGTCAATATCATCATTTTCTGGCCACGCATATTTGTTTCCCCTTCTCTCCAGAAACTTGACGCAAAGGGAATCGTCCTGAATGCGTTTAATTTGCCCGGGGCAAAACTCTTGTTTGCCGTCAATATCTTATGGGACGACAACCCAGGAGTTAATATTGAGCTCCTTCAGATCATCTTCAGTTATCCCTTCAGGGCTCTTAGGGTCGTCCTCGTCCAAGTCCTCGTCATCTTCTGCTTCCCTCCCTTGGTCCAAACTCAATCTTTTCTTCACGCCTTTCTTCTTCTCTTCCCTGGCTAGTCTTCTCAGTTCTTTTTCCCTTTCCTTTTCCGCTTTCTGATCTTCTCGTTTTTGCATGTACTCCTTAAAGCCTATGCCAGAGATGGTACAGGGCATAACATCCCCACTTTTCCTTTTTTTTTGTCCACTAGGTGGGGTCGGGAAAATCAAACATCTTTTAAATGGCGAAGGAAGATTTGGACTAGGGATTGGGATATTTGATTCTATGGTAGGAGTGAGAGGAAACAATTGGCTGGGACTAAATGTTGAAGGAGATGGAAGAGTTGTCATTAGGTTTGAATTGCCTGATTGAGAGGTGGAGGGTTCTTGGGGAGGATTTGATGGTGTATTACTTCCAGCAGTAGGAGTGTTTGAAGGACGAAGCACAGCGGATGATGAAGGGGCAGGAGAAAGAGATGGCGAAGCTGAGGATGAAGCGGCGTTAGAAGCAGCCACAGAACTCTCTTGGGTCTTCTGAACAGGGGAAGTAACGAACGTGGTGTTGTTTTGGTTGATTTCCATCACACAGTCGTCGATTTCAAAGTTGAAGAATGACGGGTCAATTTCAACTATTTCCCCTTCTTCAGTCACCTCTGCCACCACTACATTCCTTTCTTCATTGACTTCTCGTTCCAGCTGAAAATAAATAAAAGGCATATCTTAGGTACCTATAGAATATTTTAACGAATGCAGACTATTATGCACATGTTTGGGAACTTACAGTGGGGGTATTAGGTACTCAGCTTTAATGGGTTATTTAGTTAGGTACTCTGTACTTGCATTTCATTTTAATGCAAAATAACTTTTTAGGGGCAAACGAACTTTTAAATATCTACCATCAAAACATTTAAAGCCCTCAACTTAAAAGTTTGGGAAGTAATAATAACTTATTACCTCATCAAACGAAAATGATTCCTCAATATTCGTGCCTGCCACCATCACATTGTCTTCTCCTGGGAGTTCTCGTTCCAGCTGAAAATAAATAAAACTGCATATAGAATTATTAGTTCTATGCATGCAGACTATAATTCTTGGATCTTACATTTGCGATATATTTCACACTTAATGATTAACTTAGTATAACAGATAAACTATTAGCCTATCACAACAACAAAACAATTCATATATTTCAACTTAAGCCTTCTTCAAGAACGAAATCAAATATTTGTTATAACTTAAGTATCAGATTGTTTTTGGGTTTTGTAAAAATCAAAAATACATTATGTATAATGAAGTAAAAACAATAACAAGTTAGAAAGAAAGGAAAAATGTATTATCTCAAATTTAGACCAGATGGTGTTTTAGAAAATTCCCTCTCGCATGAATGGTCAAATTAGTTATTCTGTACAGGTTTGGTACAGTAAGATAATTTATTAATACATTTATTTCAATGTAAAATAACTTATTTTGGACATAAAGCTTTTTAATTATCTGTTCGACAAATTTTATAGCGTGGAAAGTAAGAGCAGTTTATTACCTCATCCAGCGGAAGTGGATCATCAATGGTCGACGATCTTGGAGACCCTGGGAGAGCCGGAGGAACCGCTTCGTT